TTGTTGACATTATTATCGGGATAAAAGCTCTCGTTGTAAACGTTGGCATCATCACCATAAACGTTATCCCAAAAAATTTCGTTCAAATCCTTACTAGTGACGCTCAGCGTATACAACGCCACATTCCAATAACCTCGCCATTCTTTGCCCTGATCCACAAACTTCCTTACCAGCACATTCACAAAGTCATACTCGTGCATCCGATGATTCTCAAAGAATGCCCGTCGTTGATCAATGGGTGGCACTCCGTATAAACCCGCAATATTATTTGCTAGCCCCAAGAAATTTATTAACAACATCCGATTGTCCACCATTTCATTCCAAATGGTTCCGGGGACGACAGACAAGGTTCGAAACCATACCAGGGCTTTGGAGACGGAGAGTAATTTGATGTAGAGGGCTACTAATCCCAAGACCAAGAATGTCGGTCGTGCAACAACGACATAAAAGATTTTATAAAATAATGCAATTCGTCGTTCCCACTGTTTATGTTTGAGTGGAAATTTTATCAGATCCGTGATAATGTCCAATGAAGGGGGATCGTGGAATTCAGTGATGAAGGCTGAGGGTTTTAGGAAATGAATGAACTTGAATAAAGAGAATTCAGCCGTTTCCTGGATGATGGTGATCGTATTTTGAAACCAGATGCTTTTGTTCATTATGGAATGAGAAAAAAAGAACACCATGAAATTAAAAATAGTTGCTAATATCAGAATGGACAGGAACGAAAATTCCACCAAGTAACCAATGCCGGTTGCCGATCTCAGGAAGTCTTCCCTGGTATGAGGAATGAAGCTTTGGCTAAAACTATTGGACAAGGAGTTTGAAATCCCGCTTCCATTCGAGGGAAAGGTGACGACCTCCTCGAGTTGTTTTGTGATGTACGCGATGTTTAGCGTTAATTGTCCCAGCAATATTATCAAGTTAAAATATGCATGCAGTCCAAGCTGAGATTTCACCAATTTATCCATCATCATGCTCAAATAATTAATCGAGGTTGGAACTGGAGGTTGAAATTTTGACCAAGGAACAGGAGCGCCTTTGTATTTAGTCCGGATCTCGTTGTTAAATTCTATAAAGTAATCCTTTGCTCTCCAATATTCAATTTGTGATTGCGAATCATCCAGATTCTTGCACTTCATCAACCATTTGCAATAAAGATCCCAGAATTCTTGGAGTTCGCGATATCGCGGTGAGATGAAGGTTGGTGATTGGGTGAGCATGGATGAATAATTCAATGAAGGGTTATCACTGCTCTTGGGGAATTGGGATGGCTCGTTAGATGCGACACGATAGATTTTCTGAAGGCGGGCGTCTATCTGTTCGGACGTGAGAGGAGACAATGGTTCATGAGGTAGATTCAGAAG